CTTGTCAACTTCATATGATTGGTCGAGTGGAACGACCCTCCTGGCTCCTTGGGGGTTGTCTTTGTTCCCTGTGATGCTCGCCATCCACCGCTCCAGCGTGGCGTCGTCGATCTCTTCCGAGTGGATCCGAGTGATGTCCTCAATACCAGAATACATCCACATAGGATGATCTCGAGCTTGGAGCGGCTGGATGCGCTGTCGGAGGAAGACCTCCAAGAGGTCCATGCTAGTCACCCTGTCACTGATGAGCTGCACGACACGCTCGACCAGCACCATCACCTGCACCTTCTCCTCCGGGATCACCTTCAAAGAGGAGGGCTTCCTCACTTGTTCCGTGAAAAAGGAGGGAGCCCAGTCGACTGCCCTGGCGTCGGCTGGTCTTTAAAGTAGAACCAAGTCGACTGCCACCCACGGACGGAGTCGGGCAAAATCATGGTCGGAAAGGAACTTTTCCCTCTCAATTGAACCCCAAGACCCCCACACATCTGAATCACGTGTGTCCTCTCGTCACTCGGATTGGCCTTCTTCACCGTCTGGGAGCGACAGGTGAAGATGTGATTGGAAAGACCCCAATGAGGCCGGCAACCCAAGAAGTTCTCGCACAAAGACACATAAGTAGCGAGGGACACGATGGTGTTGGGTGTGAAGTGGTGGAGTTGTGCCCCGAAGAAATTCAGAAATCCCCGAAAGAAAGGGTGAGGCGGCAAAGAAAACCCGCGGTCGAGGTGGGTGGCCAAAAGAACGCACTCACCCTCCTGAGGCTGCGGCTCTGACTCCCTCCCCAGGAGCCTCGCCGATCCATGGGGGATCAGCCCTCCGTCGGCCAGGTCGTCAAGATCCGCTTGGCTAATCGTCGAGCGGATCCAGTCGCCCTGGATCCAGCTCGACGGCAGGCCGGTCCTCGACGACGTTCCGCTCCGACTGGTTCCCCTTCCCTTCGCCTTCGCTGTCGCTTTCTTCGCACGCTCTAGGGCCGCCGTCTTCTCCTTCACCATCGTCGCCGACGAGGCATGCGCGGAGCAGCGGCGTGGAGGTGGAAGCGAACGCGGCGGAGAAGTCTGGAGAAGAGAGGGGAGAAGGAGAGCGCACTATTCAAAAAAACCCGTCTGGTGCTTTATATAAGGTTGCTTCTGAGTGACTAACGTGTAGGCCCGGGCGATCCTGTCAAATCCCGCAACAGTCGCGTGCGCGATACGTGGCGAAAAAGGTGGCGCGGAGATCGAGGCATCCCTGCCTTATCCCGTTCGATTACCGCGGCCTCGCTCCGTCCCGCGCACTTCCCAAATTTCAAATCCCACAAAATCCGTGGGTTGCAGAACAACTCGTCAGACAAAAGATATCCTCCACTCCGTCACTCGGAGGTCTCCAAGCGAAAACTTCACTCGACAGATACAAAGAATGGATCAAGGCGACTGAAAAAGAAGTTGGTACCGTCACCTAAGGTTCATTGATCCAGAACAAGACATGCTCATAGCACGAGAAATGGGTCGGAAGAGTCCTCAACTCCTTCCCCACTCAAACCTCGATCCATTCGGGGGCTAATGATGAAGCTATGTACCTAGGGTAGGGTCATGGACCTGTCCAAACTACCCTACTCAAGGACATCTCTAGAAGAAACCACCTGTCAGTCGACTCAGAGGTGTTCCACTCGACGGACTCGAGGACACTCGACCATGAAGCTAACCACTCGACCATGAAGCCAACCACTCGACAGCCAGGAGATCTAAAGTCACTCTGCACGCCAACGGTCGGTCTTTAAGTAGCTTTTATGGTCATCATAACACTTTATGTATAGCATTACCAGTAACGCCCAACCTTAATGTATCTTAAACCCTGCATAACTGAGGGCCGGAGGGGTCTGGCGGACTCTATATAAGCCACCCCCCTCCTCAGTGTAAAGGGTTCGCACCCCTGTAACTCATACGCATATAATCCAGTCGACCGCCTCCGGGCTCCGAGACATAGGGCTGTTAGTTCCTCCGAGAAGGGCCTGAACTCGTAAATCTCTTGCGTATACAACTACTCCATAGCTAGGATCTTGCCTCTCCTTTAGTACCCCCTACACTACTGTCAGACTTAGAACCACGACATCGAGCACTGTTGCATTGGCCGGACCACGACCGTGCTCACTGCGGCGAGCTCTGGCATCGGCGAGTGCCAGGGGAGAGTTAAGAGAGCTTGGACGAAGATTGTGGCGAGGTTTGGCATGCTTAGGCAGTCAGGGAAGCGAGCACGGGCGAAACAGAGCGCTCAGCGGCACTCAGAGCGCGGCGACAAGCAGGTTGGCATCATGTACACGCGTGGTCACACTAGTAGAAAAAGGACCTTATGTGAGACACATTAGTCTCGGTTCGATTTTGGCCCGGTACTAATGGTATCATTAGTACCGGTTCGAACGGCTATGCATTAGTGCCGGTTCGTGTTGAACCTTTAGTACCGGTTCGTGCCACGAACCGGTACTAAAGGGGTGGTGGCAGGCTGGCGTCAGGCCGGGGCCCCACGAGCCCTTTAGTCCCGGTTTGTGGCACAAACCGGTACTAAAGGGCCAACCTTTAGTACCGGTTCGTGCCTCGAACCGGCACTAAAGGGGTCTAACCTATAGTCCCGGTTGGAGACACAAACCAGGACTATAGGGCAATTTTCAAACTTGAAAAAATCATAACTAAATCATCCTAATTCAGAAAAATACATATAATATATCAAAATTTGCAGAAAAATACAAGTTTTCCGTTTCGACAATTTTTTAAAATCACAAAATTCCAAAGGGAAAATAGAGTTTTTGGGCGTTTTAGACGTTTTTAGACGTTTTTAGTGTTTAGTGCCAGGGTTTAGATTTCAGAGTTTAGGGTTAGGTTTTATGGTTTAAACCCTGAGTTTTTACTGTTTAGCATAGAGTTTCCGACGTTTTAAGTCTCGGGCTTAGGGTTTAGGACAATTTTTGAAATGACAAAATTGTAAAAGGAAAAAAAAAGATATGCTCTAATTTATGTTTTTTTGAATTTTGGTTAAATCTTGTCAAACCGGTCAAACAACTGATTCAAGAAATATAGAGTGTTACTAAATAATTACGCAATAATATTAGTGTTACTAAATAAGTATCTCAGTTTTTTTGAATTTTGGTCAAATCTGGTCAAACTATGGTCAAACTGTGGTCAAACTATTGTTTTTTAGAATAATAGTTTCAAACTCAAACAGTGAAACGTGTGACTTCATGCTCAAGCTAAACTCCTGAGGGTTAATAGGATTCACATCTTACTATTGTCAGGAAAACAACAAGTGCAGACTTGGAAATGAGGGAGAATAGAACCCGAAAGTTAAGCGTGCTCAGGCTGGAGTAGTGAGAGGGATGGGTGACCGGACGGGAAGTTAGATGATTTGGAATGAGTGATCCACACTCGAGTAGTTAAGATGGGCGATTAGAGACTAAGTCATCAAATAATTCAGAAAATTGAAAATTGAAAAAAAATCAAAAAAAAATTTCCAAAATTTTCAAAAAATCTTTATCTTTACCTACTAATAAACCAGCTATTGCTTCTGGTCGTACGTCGTCAGTGATTTTGCAGAAAAGTCCCTTTGTTAATGAGAATTCAACCCGCAGTCCTATCTTAAGTGGATATCTGAGAAAACGTTTCATTTTTGCACAAAACACCCTGGCGTTGGAGTATTCAACATGCGGTCCGAGCAGATTTGTAAAGGAAAAAAACACAACCACACACGCACGGTCTCGCGCTCGCCTCCCTCTCGCCCAGGAAGTCCTCGCCGCCGCCGCTGCCCACGCAGGCCGCTTCCGGCGAGCTCCGGCGCCGTGCAGCGCGTACCCGAGCTCCCCACGCTCCGCGCCTCCCTCCCCTCCAGCCAGATTCTCCGCTCCCGGCCTCTATCATCCGTTCGCAACCCCACCCCATGGCTAGGGTTTCGGGCAAGGCTTCGCCGACGCGTCTCCATCCTCGCTCGCTGCCTTCTCCCACCACACCGGCCTCCCTTCCCTAGCAACCCTCCCGCCGTGGAGCACCCTCACACTGGACACTCCTTTCTCTCCCCCTCCCATCGTCGAACTGGAGCAGCAGCCGCTCCTCCTCCACCTCCCCAATTTGGGACAGCAACACCACGAGCTAACACCCCGGCGACGATCTCCTGCTGGTGTGGGTCGGCGTGGGCTTGCCCGATCTGGGGCAGATGCGCCGGTTCTGGCGTGGAGAGATGAGGAGGAAGGTGGGACGGGAGGCCAAGGCAATGAAGAAACCACGTCGAGCTGCCATGGCCATGACCAGATCCACGACGAGGTTAAATGGGGTCGGCTGCTCCCTACAGGATGACGAAGGTCTCCAAGGGCGGGCCTTCTCTTCTCCTCGAAATCGATGTGCCTGTGGCATGCTTGCTTTTCATGTGTACGTGCTTGCTGTATTTACCTGCATCTGATGGTTCTTTCTATGTGCGTGCGTGAGAAATACACCTGCAGGTGATGGTTCTTCATGCTATGTGTCTGGTTCTTGTGTTGCTTCCGGGGCATAGAACTCCCTGCAATGATACTGTGCTTTTGTTCCGGGTTCCTTAGCTTCTGTATAAAATAAAACAAGAAAGCAGTTCATATGGGTTGATTAGCTGATGCATGTGATCTGTATAAATGGATAATTGGGATGGGTGTGATTTATTCATGAGATGTAGTATGATTTCTAAGAAAAGGGTTTCTTCTTGGTTGAGAATAGTGGAATTTGAGATGTACTGCTATGTGTTTGTTCTCCATCTTGGACATTCTAAGCTGCAACTGGTGAAGTGTTGATAGGTTTGAAGTAAGTATTTTGGACCTAACACATTTCTATCAATTGTTTCAGAATGACTTGGCGAAATACAAGAGCATCTCATCTTGATTTGGTGTTCTGTTAAAGGAGCAATGAGCTAGGGGATTTTTCAGGGGATGGGTGCCTACCTTGCTTGGTTACAGTGCTCAGGGGGCTTGCAAGTTTGGGTTCTACGAGTTCTTTAAGAAGACCTACTCAGATATGGCTGGGCCTGAGAATGCCATGAAGTACAAGATCCTAATTTACCTTGCAGGACCAGCTTCTGCTGAGGTAATTGCTGATATCGCTCTGTGCCCCTGTGAAGCTGTCAAGGTCTGTGTGCAGACACAGCCTGGATTTGCTCGTGGGTTGAGTGATGGGCTTCCCAAGTTCATCAAAGCTAAGGGTGCTGCTGGGTAAGTAAATCACCAGCCGTCTTAACAACTTCATGATTTGCTTTACTTACCCTAATCCTATGCGCTCTAATTTATTGGTTAATAATGTCAGGCTTTACAAGGGACTTGTTCCTCTTTGGGGTTGCCTGATTCCTTATAAGTGCTTTCTCTCATCATTCTGTTATAGTCTTTTAATTTGAATTCTCACTACTATGATTGTTTCACAAATGTGGCCTGCTTTGGAACCAAATGCTCTAAATCTGGTCTCCTGTTTCATCTAATCGGCCCTGTTTGTTTTTCTTTGATGCCAATTGGTGATGTTTTGTTACCTTTTCTTCTGCTATATGAGCAAACACCTATCCTATTGATGACCAACCATGCTGATACTATTCTATATTCATTTTACCATTTCTATTTGTTGCCTAGCTTATGGGCATTATTCATCGACTCCTTAGAGTCGTTCACTCCACAGTTTCGATGGAAGTTTTTAGCTGAAACTCCAAAATTCATTGTCCTTGCAAAAAATAAAAATGTTAACCAGACATGAGATTACTGTATGTCTATCCATCCACACTTGCGCTGTAGCAGAAGAGATCAACTTATCATATATGACCCACACAATAATAAAGAATAAGAAAAAGGATTAGATATTTTTATATAGTGTAAATAATAAAGAAGCGTGACCCGAGACTGTTGAATATGTGATCTCCAAAGTAGGAATATGAGGGAAGATAGCTTTTTGTTGCTAAACGATGGACGTCCTCGGCGAAGAAAGCCATGTTCGTGACCCTCTAAAGAAGAAAGAGCACAAGCCATAAGAAACAAATGCACTTTCATATACATAGTAGAACTCGAACCCACGTGAAAACCATCTAAAGATATTGACAACAGAAATCCTCAGTCACTTCCTTGAACACTTAAATTACAGGACAAGTTTACATAGACTATTTTGTAAATTGAAATTACTGAATATGAGCACACGAGCAAACAACCACACAGTAACAACCTAATGGGCAGTGATTATTCCATGAGTGTCATCCCTAGAATGTTCAAATTCACTGAAATAAGCCAATTCAGCCCTTCTTAACAGTCTAGCTGAACATCTCTCACAGATTTTGCCACTGATCCATGAGAAAAGGACAACATCCTTCTTTCTACCCTCGCCTATGATGGCCGTGGTGTCCAGTTCACAATGTGTCGAAACATGGTCAATTCCATGACAATGAGCACGCCACCCCACGTGCACACATGTCACTGCATCCGCACAAGGGAATATTTAAAACTTTAAAAACTAATTTCTCAAGTTGGACATGAACGCCCTCTGCGAGCTACTCCCTGCACCTGTCTATACACCTTCCCTCATATTCCTACTTTTTTTTGCACAAAGCACGTCGCTATGTAGCCTATTGCCATGAATTTGGTCAGAGTTGAGGAACTGGGTCACGACACATCAAGGGAGATGAAAATCTCATCAAGGACAGAGTGAGAGGGGAGGATATAGATGCCAGGCGGGACATGGCGAGATGTGATGCCGATGTCTAAGGGCACCAGTGGGTCGAGCGAGACGGGCTTCTGCCCAGCGACGCCAAGAAAGAAGCGTCAATGGCAGGCGCTGACCAGTCTACGCATATTATGGGCTTACAGTCCAATTTTGAGTTTTTCATATCAACATGATTGTTTTACGGTCAATTTTCTAAATATTGTTAGTGACTAGCTATTTCCTAATTTTGTTTATTTAGGTTAGAGAGAATATGTAAGGCTAATGTTTGAGCAGAAGGAGAGTGAAAAGATGCAAGAGTGATACACCCAAGCACTTGATTTGAGTCAAACATGGTTTGTTGTACAGGATTCCTCCGTATTTGTCTGCACAAATAGTGCTTGATATTTACTGATGATAGTTTTTCTCCATAGTTCAGTGTCTACATCTTTATTTTCCTAATATAGTCATATTGCCCATATAAGTGCATCTTTTATTTTGAGTTCTTCCTGGGTGCCACTCTGAAAGCGAATTCTTCCTAGGTGTATCATGCACATGTATCTTGCCGTTCTATATTCTCAAGTCTCAACTGCAGATTCTCAAAGGTTTCGGACACCACTTTGACCTGCGACAAATATTTGGACTATTTATTTAGTGACACTGATCATAGCTGTCCGCAGGATTTATTCACTCACCAACTCTGGCTTTTGGTGTACACGGTACACCGTGAGGCAAGTAGGTTGACATTTTCATCTGTTATCATGAGTGTCGTGTTTACTCTTGCAGTTCAGTTATTAAGCTTATGCTTAAGCTGATTGTACTGTCTAGAGGTGGAATGGCTAAGCTCTCTTTATAATCCTTTTACTGAATATCTTGCAAAGGGCACACTAAAGGGGATGAAAGTATTAGGTGTGGGGGTATCAGTCCACTATGTTCTTATGTCTATGGATCCGCGAAATGTTGACGCTTTATTGGTTTTGATCACAAAAATGTTTGGTCTACATGCTTTCATCTTGAATATATGTAGCTCTAAAGTAATACTACTTCCCAGTTAGTTCATTGAAGTAATGATACAATCAATTGGATGTTTTTCTACTGTTATGGATCTAGTAGGAAAAAAGTTGTTTTGATGTCATTGTTTTTCACCATAGTTCATTGTCAACATCTTTATTCTCCTAATACAGTCATATTATCCATATAAGTGCAACTTTTAGTTCGTAAAAGTACTTTGTACTTAGCCCAATTGATTTCACTAGATCCCCTGTTTATACAGTATGTATGAGACACCTTGCAATTATTTCACTAGATCGATTGATGATAGCTTGTTGTTGCAGATGAAACCGAAGAAACTGTATCTATCCTGGGCCAGTTGCCAACCAAGCCAACATTGTCTCAGTTACCGGTTCAAAGATGTCTCAAACCATGCACAAACATTTCAGTTGATACATACGCCATAAGTTTGGTCGTCTGCTCTTTTAAATGCCCAGAAGCATAACTCTCGAGATCATTGCAGAGATCATTGCTCACTGAACATAAGACCAGATGTTCCAATTTATTTTATTGCTCAAAGAAGAATTGGTGTTCTGTTGTGTTATCCTGTGACACTATAAGTTGATGATTAAGTTGGGAATGTCGTTGCGTATACAGGCAAGCCGATGGGCTCTTATGCTGAAGAGCAGATTATTCGAGCCAATGTTGGTTCCCATCACGCCTTTGATTGATCACACAGTGGCTGCTATCATGCTCAAGGGGATGACTGCCCATATGCTGGTTCGCCACATATTTAAGGTATATTTTGTTTTGTTCCTGCTGTCTGACATACTGACGTCCTAAAGTTAGGATACATACAAGGTAAGATTCTTATAATAGGTCTTATTTTGAAACTTTGATTGATTGAAGTACATAATTCGATCCTACTTTGTAAAATTGATCATTACAGAAGTCTTAATACCAAGATGTGGTCAGCTTGCAATCATGCCAACAAAAAATCTAATTTGTCTCTTCATAGTACTTGTGGTTAAGAATCGGTTTATGCTTCCCTTCACATTGTGGCATAATCGACTTTTAACTAAGTAACCCACGTTTTCATAGATTTAAATAGACACTATCTGGTGTTTTGGTTGCAGCGAGTGGTCTTCATTATTCATTGCGTGTGTCTACATATGGACATTATAGTACTGATATGAGGAATGATACCCAATCGATTTTATGCAGGCTTCATTAGAGTGATTGGCGTCCTGCGTTTTCCTGCTGTCGTTCGGCAGTCCTGTAGCAAGCCTCTCGGCCTTTCTTCTACCCAGACGAGAGGGGTAATTAAACAAAGATATATATGAAGTTGTAAAATCAAGTGCTTTTTTCTCACATTGTAAAATTATTTTGTTTCTCCGGCTGCAACGCACGGGCACATTTACTAGTAATTTCAAAAAAAAACCTTTAGTACCGGTTGGTAACACCAACCGGTACTAAAGGTCCCCCATACCACGGCGCGAGCTGACGCCACGTGGTGGGCCTTTAGTGGCGGTTCGTGCCGAACCGGTACTAAAGGGGGGAGGCCTTTAGTCTCCAATCTTTAGTGCCGGTTGCAGAACCGGCACTGAAGGCCCTTATGAACCGGTATTAAAGCTCCGTTTTCTACTAGTGTCACCGCGTGAACTTTTCCCTCAGGCCAACCTAAGTCCAAAATTCATATCTGGCTTGTTGTTCGTGGTAGTTTTAGTGGTTACCACACTTGGGTTTGGTCTTAGGTGCAGTAGAAAAGATTTCACACGCTTGGTAAGTGCTACGTCTTGAGCTAGCATTGGTTTTCCCCTAAGAGGAGAGGGTGATGCAGCAAGTGTAGCGTAAGTATTTCCCTCAGTTTTGAGAACCAAGGTATCAATCCAGTAGGAGGCTCCTCAAAAGTCCCACGCACCTACACAAACAAACTGAGAACTCGCAACCAACGCAATAAAGGGGTTGGCAATCCCTTCACGGCCACTTGCGAAAGTGAGATCTGATAGAGATAGTATGATAAGATAAATATATTTTTGGTATTTTATAATATAGATGCAAAAAGTAAAGATGCAAATAAAAGTAGATTGAAAGCAAATATGATAAGAGATAAACCCGGGGGCTATAGGTTTCACTAGAGGCTTCTCTCAAGATAGCATAAGTATTACGGTGGGTGAACAAATTACTGTCGAGCAATTGATAGAAAAGTGCATAGTTATGAGATTATTTAGGCATGATCATGTATATAGGCATCACGTCCATAACAAGTAGACCGACTCCTGCCTGCATCTACTACTATTACTCCACACATCAACCGACTCCTGCCTGCATCTAGAGTATTATGTTCAGAAGAACAGAGTAACGCATTAAGCAAGATGACATGATGTAGAAGGATAAACTCATGCAATATGATATAAACCCCATCGTGTTATCCTCGATGGCAACAATACAATACGTGTCTTGCAACCCTTTCTGTGACTGGGTAAGAACACCGCAAGATTGAACCCAAAGCTAAGCACTTCTCCCATGGGAAGAAAGATCAATCTAGTAGGCCAAACCAAACTGATAATTCGAAGAGACTTGCAAAGATAACTCAATCATACATAAAAGAATTCAGAGAAGATTCAATTATTATCCATAGATAAATCTGATCATAAACCCACAATTCATCGGATTTCGACAAACACACCGCAAAAAGAGATTACATCGAATAGATGTCCACAAGAGAGGGGA